GCAGGAATATAAAACCAGCCCTATAGCTACCCGGCGGTGTAAATTACCTACTCCTGATGTAGTTCTTACATGGGTTACTGTCTGTTTCTGCCTCCAAATCATCCAGTTTCTGGCTCTCTGATGCTTTTCAAGCCCCAGCAGTAAAGATCTCTACTGGTTCCAATTAACAAGCCAATGAGCCTTGCCACAGTCCTTGATTCCATAAGAACAAGCTCATATTATTCACCAACTGGTAGTAAAACACTTCACGTCAGGCAAGGGAGCGCACGTTGCTGTTACCAACTGAATCAGCTGGAAAAAGTGCACAAAACAGCTCCCCACCCTTTAGCATCCCGTTTCCAAAAGGCACTCGTATGAACAAGGAGTCTAAAGTACCAATGGAAACAAGTTTAACAGAGAAACTCCTTTCCTACCCCACACGTCACTTCACTCCTCCTTCAGCCGGCACGCAAAAGCTGGGAGACATCAGATTAACAACTTTGGCATAAGAGGTCTACGGCAAAATCTTACCGCATTAGGCAAGGAGCAAAAATATGGAACAGATCAACAAGCTGACATAGCCAGACAGTGATGCTACACCCATCACTAATTTCCTGACGGCTTTAGCTCCTGGGCAAACTGGCTGCAACCCATGGCTGCTCCATGCTGCTTTTCTAAATCACCCTCGGCACGGGCCGTTTATGGGAATGACCTTGGCTAGTGAACTGTGAAAGAATTCAAGTCCTCTGCTTGCTGCTCGGCAACGCAGGTACCCCCCTGATTTCACAGCCTCGACTGGCGATGTCACAGTGAGAGGGTAGGAAAGAGCACGCGACGTGAAAGTTCATCCGAGGAAGAGTAGTGACAATTGTGTAATTTTTTCTTAGAACGGACAGCTCTTCTCCGCTGCCTCCTTAAACTGCTGATGGGAAGGCGGAAGGGACAGAGCAGAGCTACAGAAAACTCACCGTGACAAACTGCGAGAAAAGCAAGCTATGACGAAACATAATATCCAGTTAATTCCTGTAAATTTTGTGAAATCGAGGGAAAAGGCAGATGGAGAATTTACACTGCAAATTGTGCTAGAATCATACAAAGGCACCGAGTCAGAGAAATGTATGCATTTAACACACCAGTTAATTAGTCCTTGACACTGACACATAAATAGAGTTTATTGCCCTGCAAAAAAATATTTAATATTTATTTGAAGACTTCAAGAGGTTGAGAACTCATCTTCAGTAGTTCCATCCATCTTCAGTGCTCCCACGTCGAACCACGATGCTTGCTTCTTACTAGCGTTAGCCTCAATTTACCTTTCAGCCATCGATTTTTGTTACACATTTCTCCGCTAGTACCAACTAGCCCTTTGCTACGTACGGTCACCCTGAAATAAGATTCCCAACAGAGGAGGAACTCAAGAATGGATTGTTTCTTACCGTCATGGCCCGAGTTGAGAAGATGCTCTCCCAGGTCACAGCCAAACACCCTTTCCTTCAGGATCCCCCGCTGTTTCAGTTTCTGTTTCGTTGGGCGCGACTTCATGAATGTACGAAGGAAGGTGATGAGCTTGCCGTGTTTTTTTGACACTGCACAACAAAATAAAAAAAAAACCCGCTTAATTTTAGATTTGGCTCAGTTAGGCGAGGCCAAGCGTAACACATTCTACAGAGCACGTAAGAACTGTAGTAACACTAATATCAATTATTTACAGAAACAGATTTTCCAAGGTCCGACACTAAACAGAGACTTGGCTTTTGTTCTAATCCTTGGCTAGTGCAGAAATAACAGGAGACAGCTGTAATGGAAGAATTTAACACAAAGACACATTTATCTGCAAAGCAGTTTCAGGTGGGAGCGTACTAAAGGACCGTCAGGGCCTATTGGATGGTGGGCAGCACCTGAGAGCTACAATTTTCATCTCTGGAAAAATGAACAAGGCTAAACTTACAAAACCAGTAATCTCACGTACGTTGACAAACACTGTATATAATCTACAAGCAGAAATAAATGCTTTGTTACTGGCTCTCATTCTAGTAATCTCAGGCGCCTCCAGAGCAAACGAATGACTAACATCATCTGAACTCAGAGGACGTGGAGCTCGAAGGGCTACAGGCTGCCCTTCCAGCACACCTGCGATTCTAATGAACCGCAGCCGCAGCTGTGGAGGTACAGTCCATTCCAGGGCATTATTGGCTCCCCGAGTCTTCTCAAGCCTCTGCAAGATAAAAGCATTACTGTCTTTGTTTTATTTCATAGAAAACTAAGGCGGCCGATTTGAAGAGATGCGGTTTATCCCCTCCAGAATAAATACAAGAAGTCTGCAAAGAGACGAGAACATAGCTCAGGAGCCATCCCTCCAAACCGCCTGCTCCGTTTCTCTACACGATGCTGCACGGTCCCTCTGTTAAGCTGGTGAAATCGGTCACTCCGTTAAAACCATCCGGTCCCGCTAAGGGGCATAACCCACAGCTGAACGAAATGGAGAGTAACACAGGGCAGAAGTGGGTGACACAAATAAATTCATGCAAATCGGGAGGAGAGGCTGCCCAGGGCTTTGAATGGGAAGCAGAACAATACCCTTGAATGTCAACTTTTCTTCCTGAGGCCCACTCTGAAAGCAAAAGGGCCCCAGCCTCCCCAACAAAAGTGCCATTGTATACATGATTTAAAAGCAGTTTAACTTCAACAGAAGAGCTCTATTGAAAAAAACAAATCACTAGGTATAAAAGGCTGTCCTTTGTGGGGAAGCCTTTACAGCTCCAGGAAGTTGTAAAGGCTCCTGCAGCACCGCAAGGCAATACCAGCAATCACTCTCCCCTGCTCCTGTCTCAGATCCCAGAGAGGAAAGACAACTGTGTATTTCACCTGCATTAAAACCGTAAGTACTGTAATCAAATTTCAGCAGAGAAACGCTATTTTGAACAAACAACAAAAGCAATGAAGACCCCTGCTGACAAAGGTGCGTCTCTTCAGTGTCACTACTGCTCGGTAACATGTACAGCCCCAAATTCTGCGAGCGGCTTTGGAAGTTGGGGCTCGGCAAAAAGAGAGGTTTATGCAGTAATGCTTCATACAGGCAGACAGGGTATTCTTTCACCAGACAACATGAAGAACCTTGTCCCAAGAACAAGGTTATGCCACGCTATGCTTCATGATGTTTTAATCCCTTTAAACAGCTGAGTATTTTTCCTTCTCTTTTACCAGGTATCGATGCAGTCCCTCTGTTTATAATAAACCTGATTCCAATGGCCTGAACATATTTCTATCCATGCGCGTAGAGTTCTGCTTTTGGATAAAGTCCCTTTTAGCAGCGTGACACCCCACTGATCTGCAGCAGCCAAATACATCTGAATACCTGAAATCCTAAAATCTCCAACAAAACCCCATGTCTGCATTCTCAACAACCAAACCCAAATCATTTACCGAAACGCAGAAGCATTGAGCATGACAAACTGCGGCTATGGGGGCTTTAGTTAAAGGGATGTTCTCAGTCTGACGGGGTTTTTTAATTACACACAATAAATGAACAGATTGTGCTGACATGCCAAAGTTAGGACAGATTTTGGTTGTATCCATCATCACAGTAAAGCAACGGCTCATTTATCATCTCTTATTAGCCCCGCTCAAGCATAAATGGAGACCGAGTCTCATCCTGACCTGTGTGGAATTTCAAAGGGTTCGCACCCTCGGGCTCCTGTGATAATGCTATTGGAGGGGACAGACCCAAGACAGACGCTTTTACAGCAGTCAAATAAACAGACAAATAAAGCAATTGCTAATACGTATGTATTCATTTGAATCATTTCACAGACTCCGTATACAGTTCTTCATGAAGTATCTTGCTTGACTTAATGAAAAATGAGTCCATCAGATAACGGATTTAAAATGGAGACAAACGCATTCAATTCCAGTACTGCAGAAACTCTACTAACGCTGGTGACCAGGTCAGCAAGTGACCTTTGGGTGTCACCTCAGGCATTAAAACCGGAAAAAGGTGCAATGAATACACTTCCATGATCCAAGGACGTACTTTGCTTGGAATTGAAACTTGTTTACATCTCTACCCAGAAAGGAAACCTGAGTTTTTAAAACTCAGTAAGTCTGCTCTGCCTTTAAGCCACTCGGTACAGGTTAAAATAATTGTCTTGTTTTCCGCATCATTGAGTAGACTCCTACAAACACGCTCCCATGGTGTACCGGTACAACAGTCCACAACACTGCCAGGGCAATGCCTGAGCAGGTTAAGTAACCAGAAATGCACTTATCAACGGCCTGTGGAAACATTTGCA